CCTGTTTCTCTTAGAAGTGACCTTTTCTCATTCAAACTTGTTTTCCCAGAGCCTAGGACTGCCTGGCATATACCAGTTGTATCAATTACCTTGTAAGAAACAAGCATCCCTTCCAAAGAATACAGTGATTTGGATAAGGCAACGATTCATTCTTTCCTATCATTTAGTCCAGAAGTGAAAATTCAACAGGGCTGTCATGGAGGGTAAAATGATCATCAGTGTCCCTAACTCCATTTATTTTTCTGGTTCACTCTTTACTGTTTCATTCTATCCTTAAGACTCCCTCACTGCTCATAGGGTTTTTTCCTTCTAGATTAGAGTTGTTCCCTCTTTATCCACATAAATTATACAGTTCATTGAGGCCATCTGTCTTTATCCCCAGAGCCTAGCCAAAACAGGGTCACGCAAATAGCAGACTCACAATCAAAATGTGGTGGAGGGATAAATACATAAATCTTTTAAATAGTTTAGAGTCTAGGAATTCTTAATTCCATCAAATATTGAAATTTCTGGGAATATTTTTGAGAGACTGCAAAAATATCAACAAGCACTGTGGAAGAAGATTTTCTCATTTCAAGTCCAGTGTGAATTACTAAGCCAGAGTGATCAAAGACAATTCGAGACTTCAGGCAGCAACTCTACCCAAAACTCACCACTAGATGGCAGCGACGGCCCGGGAGCAAGCCACCTCCGCCCTCTGGCCCCGCCCTGCCCTTAGGCCTCCAGCAACACCCAGCCCAGCCTTTGACTGGGCTGAGACCTGGAGTGGAGGGCAGGTCCTTGCAGATAAGATGGACCTAGGACCCACATCCCTCCTCAGAAAGAGATGAGCCCCCGTTACACCCTTTTCTTCCTTTCTTATAAACTCTACCAGTAATTAATTCTTCTTGTTTCAGTGAATTCCTCCACAGGATCCCTTCCCTACTTCATGCTTTCTTTTCCCCAGGCAGGGCCTGCTAGGCTGCTGTCCCTAGCACCTGCTCCACTAACAGCACCGAAGAGAAGGGGAGGTATTCTCTACAGAATTCCTGTAGGAACTTGCGACATCTTGGGAACTGTCAGGCATACAGTGTCTGAGTCAGGAGCAGAAAAAAAGGAAGAGAAATAGAGAGGGATGAGAAAAAGAGCTTAAGGAAAGGGGTGGCTGAGACCTGGGACTGCCCCCCCCCGACAACCCCCCCCAACCCCAGACACATTTTCCAAGAGTTTGGGGGAGGGGTTGTTCTGCATTTTTAAATGATTATGGTCTGCTACTGTGGATTATATATACCATACAGCTATCTGCGAAGTATGAGAATCAAGGATATGAGCCTAAGTCCCAAGTACCCCTTGACTTTATTGAGCTTGTTCTCCCCACAGCCAGCAGTGCACCCCAGCCCACTGGTCTCCCTTGTGGGCTCCCTAGCCCAAGCTCTCACCCAGGCTCTGTCCCTGGAGTGCCTTGGCAAGAGATAGCAGGGCCTTCTGAAAAACTCCTGCTCTGAGCAGGGCCCTCCTGTGAAGAGGAAGTCCAAAGTTCTCAGAAAGTCCCTGTTTGTTAAGTCCTGCATTCATGAGAGGCAGAGAGAGGAAGACAGGAATGATCCCCACATTCCAAGTCTTGGTGACCTATCCCAGTGCCACAGCAGAGAAGCAGACAGAAAATGCCACCCTACATGTGTCGTAGGCTACTGTGAGGACCAAATGGCACAGGCAAGAGCCCTCTAAACCCTGCCGGGCACCTGAGTGCATGTAGTCATTTATTTACCATTAATTGTGCACATTTGTGGACCAACGCAGTGTGGTGGCCCTTGGGGCATGCCTTTGATTCCAGCACTCAAGAGGCAGAGGCAGACAGATCTCTGTGAGTTGGTCAGCCTGGTCTACATAGTAAGTTCCAGGCCAGCTAAGGCTACATAGTGAGACCTTATCCCCACCCCACTCCACCCCGAAAAAAAAAAAGAAGAAGAAAGTGACAGATCAGGAAATATGAAGGTGGAATGGGTATTAAGATTAAGAAGTATTTCAGTTTCATGTATGGATGATTGAATTGTAGTTATGTTTTTAAAAACATAAAAGAAACATAACAAGAAAGGAGGGAGACTGATTCGTGCAAGATAGGCATCTCTACTTATAGGATGCTCAGAAGAAGAGATGCAAATTTGCTTCATTTTTTTAAAAGCATAAGAAGGAGATAAAGTTTTTTAAAATGACCATTGATCATTGCTGCACCTGCATTCTGGGTACATGTGGTAGTTAATGAGATAACTTTTTCCTATTTTTACATGTTCAAAATGTTTCATAATGAAAGGCTTTTTTGAAGAAATGTCCTCCAATGATTTTTAAAGACTGTTAGGAAAAGCTGGGCTGAGACCATTATCAAGAAGTGTGCTGGATCAAGGAGCAATGTGAAGGCCAGACGATGGAAGGTACAGGAGACTGTACCTAGACTGATGGGTTTGTCTAAATGAAGATGGGCAGAAAGAATATTCCAGAAGGAGCAAGCCCATTTACATAAGCAGAAAGACTCCAAATGGCATCCCACTGTTCAAAGGTGTTTGCCAAAGAAACCAGTTCGTCCTAGTTTACTTAGAACTTAGCTGGTTTTAGCTCTAAAAGTCTCTCATCAGGAAACACCCATTTCCAGGCAAACCAGAGGGTTGGTCACCCCAGCTTCCCATTCCAGTGGTCAGGCAAGGGAGAGCAGAACTGGGTCAGAAAGTTGTGAGCTACAGGCCTGAAAATGAAAGCAGTCTGAATAGGACACAAGAGGGATCCCCAGACACTGCCCACACCTGTTTTCTACCCCTTCAATACCAAACCTCGGCAACAACCTTCACCCCAGGACATTGAGGCTGACTGCCCTAGGACCAAGCTTACTTCACCTCCTCCCCTCCTCTGTTCCTCTACACGACCTGCTAGAGGCCTGCAGACAGTGTAGCTGCTGTCTGGGTCTGACTCCTCATTTCACCTAATTTACATATATCTTAAGTATGCTGTATACATGCATGTTATATGAATATACATTTCATGTGTATATTCATTAAACATGAGCATTTTCTCAGATTCCTTATAAAAAGCTCTATGATGGAAGTCAGCAAGATGATTCAGCAGGTAAAGATGATTTCCATCAAGGCTGCCAAACAAGACTGGGATAGAGTTTGATCCCCAGGAGCCACATGGTAGAAGGAGAGAACTTACTCCTAACTCTCAAACAAGTTGCCTGCCCTTTGACCTCCACTCATGCACGGTGACGAACACACACACACACACACACACACACACACACACACACACCACAAAATAAATAAATGTAATTTAATTTAGGGATGAAAGCACCTAAATTAATAAATAGGTTAATTAATAAATTAAAAATCAGAGAACTAATCTGTGAAAGGCCAAACAGAGGAATTGTAATATACCTCGTTACCTACCACATAGGACTTGGTAGTGAATAGTGCGTCATTCTATAGATAAAGTGCTTAGAGTAATGCCTGGCATAGAGGAAGTAATTGACTAGGGATAAGGGGTTAATGTCTATTGATGGCTAATACTACATTACGTGGCCCAACCTACAGGAGAGAAGGGAAGCACAGAAATCTGAATTTAAGGAAAAATAAGTTATTGTCTGCATTACAGAGCAATTCATCCCAGGGTTCCTTTGTACTTGACAACTTTGGTTTTAGAAGCTGATCTGAGCAGAAAGTTAGAAGCACCTGCATCAGAGAAGCTACATCCTCAAAAGCCTTCAAAGTCAAATTCCCCTCAGCACTTACCACCAGCCAGCCCCTCCCTGGCTCCCTGAGCAGAAACTCATCTTTCACAGAGGAACACAGAGGCACCAGCTCAGCTGCCCATTGGAAAGCTCATCCTCAAAGCGTTCTGCTTCTCTAGCCATTGAGCACACAGTCACCCAGTTCCTCCTGCAGAGCCTTCCCCCTCTAAGAATCCTCTCTTCATTGCAACGCAAGGAAATCAAGATGCCCAAAAAGGGAGAATCTATGGCCTTGGCCTTGACCTTTGGCTCACCAGGATCATTTGTGGGAGAGCCTTCTTTACAGTACCCATGACCAGTAATAAGGTCTCTCTCCCATTGCTCTGCCCTAAAAACAACGGCTCCCGTGTTCTCAGGTTAGTTCAGAGAGGGCAGTGTTCAGCCTGGCCACCAGACTCTTAGACAGTCCTGTTGATCTCAGTGTATCCATCAACATCTTGAGAACTGGCAACCCAACAGCTCCAAGCAGCTCACACCATGCACAGGCTGACGGGAGTTTATTTGGTGGCAGCCTTTCTCCCAGTTGCAATGATTTTTCTTGTTTCTCTTCATGAACTAGCATCTCACAAAAAGCAATAGGGGCACAAGTGAGCAAGAAGGAAGAAGCAAAGGGGAACTGCTCCCCACCCCAGAGATGCCTGGTCTCCTGGTATTATCTGATGGAAGGTGCCCATCATGAATACTGGAATAGTCCCAGAAGTATTCCTGCCATCATGGAACTAAAACTGCTTCCTAAGTCTGCACATGCCCCACCAACATCCAAAACAGGTGGAGCCCCAGATCTCACTATCAGATCCTGCCCTGGACACAGCCTCAACAGACTCTGAGCGAGGAATAAGATGTAACCCACCACCACACCACCACATGCCTCCTCTAACACAAAGCCTCCAAGAGCTGCTGAGCCTGGGTCAGGAGCTGCTCTGCCCAGCCACCACCAGCCAAATACACACTTCCACTGAAACTTAAAGGCACACTGCAGAAAAGCTTCATGAATTTTTCACAAGATTTGTCTAATAGCAGCTGAGCGGAGCTGAGAAAGCCACGTTCAAGTGCCTGTGCCAGCAGCTTGCAAAGAGTTAACCCATTAGGCCACATCCTGGTGAGCTCATCCCTGCCTGAGCCTGCTCAGTGGCTGGGATTTGCAGCACACTGACTCTGGACATGGCCAGGGTGGTTTTCTCCAGCTGGGATGAAGGACTTGAGCAGAAACTCATTGCCGGCTTTCTCTCTGTATAGCATCAACTGAGTCCCAGGTCCTCCATCCTCCCCTGGGACACTGTGCACAGTAAGTAAGGAAAAGAACCTCCCTTTGGTCCTTCTTTGTACCTCCCTGGAAGGAGCTGGTTTGAAGTTTGCTTTAGCGCATGTAGTTTCTGAAGCGGAGAAGGAAGGCTACGTGAATGGTGGATAGAGGATGATGCCAGCTGCAAGCAGGCTAGAGGGACCACCATGAAAGGTAGGCAGAAGTGGGTGGGGTGCCTCTTACTGAGTACCTGGGAAAAGGTACCATGTGTGATGAGAGTTGTTCTGCCCTAGGTGTACAACACCCAGCTTTCTACCCTTGAAAGCCATTGAAAGGAGTAAAGAGGGACCCTCTGCCCAACCCTAGGTGGTAGCAGAAGTGAAAAGGCTAGATTGCAAAGTGCAAGGCCACCCTCAGACTCCAGAGTACGGGGCACAGACTGCCCATTCCCGCAGTATCTTGCATCCAAGCTCAGCAGCTGCAGGTCTGTCCCTCCTTCCTGCAGGTGTGGCCCGAACCCTGGGCAGGTGCCAGGGAAACAAGAAGTATACTGGTTCAGACAGTTTTCATTTCAGAAAGCAGAGAATGAACAAGACAGGTCCATAGAAATTCGGACAAAGGCACCGCTTGGTCAGACAGACATGGGCTATAGGGACCACGCCTTTCAGTAAAGCCAGATGCAATCACCTATCATATCCCTTGAGCTGTTTTTCCAACCCTATTGCTGTGCAGAACCCATGAGCTGACTGTGTGGCCTAGAGAGGAAGGTAAGTGGCACTCTCCAGATGACTGTGACCTTAGAGGGGAAAGTTTCCTTCCTAAGAGTGCTGTGAGCTGGGGACAGATAGTAGCTGAGGCCATGTTGACAGCAGCAATGGTTTCCAAACTCTCTAGTCTCTATCAGCCCAGGCACAGGGCCCTACTTACCTTATCAGAGAAGTAGACAGTCAGCAAGTGAACCGTTGGGAGTAGGGTAACAAGAGGAAATAAAGACATTGACCTGCTGGAGCTGGGAAAGGCAAGAGTGGGGAGCTCAGGGGGAGAAAGAAGACTTTCCACTTCCCACCCACACCGGCTCCTCCTCAGGAATAAGAAACCATGTCATTCTACTACACAAACCCTGTAGCCTGCCTTCCCCTCTTCCCACTGTCCTGGCTGGGCCAACCTCCCCACTCTGAGGTCATCTGCGCCCTTTCCTCTCCTCAGTGTCACCGGGTCCTTGCAATTCCCAAAATAGCCCAGTTCCTATCTGAGCTCTCTAGGTGGAGGGGCCAAGGGAGAAGAGAGCAACTGATAACTCTAGACCTGTACTGGAAGCACAGGGAACCTCTCATAGCATCAAAGCAGCTAAATGTGTTGTATACAGGGTGCCAATTCCATTTGAATTTCTAGTAAGCAATGGGATATGTCCGGCACATGATGTCCCATGAAGTGTTGAATCATTCTTAAGCTGAAAAAGCATCTATTGATTTGAAGTCAAATTCAACTAAACATTTTGTCATTGCATTTACTAAATCTGACACCCCGTTCATGTTGTTCCAGTTCATTCAAGGGAGAGCAGTAGCACCAGGGAAAGGCTGGGGAGTGAATTCTAAAACAAAGACAGGCAGCTAAAGAGAGTGAGGGTAGAAAGGAAGGTAGTGAAGAAAAAAAAAGTCAAGTCCCTTCCCCAATAAAGCATAGTGCAAAATATAAAAGGCCTCTGGGAGTCTCAGTTTCCTGATCTGTAAAATGGGAATACTGTTAATAGTACCACCCTCACAGTGCTATGAGTATCCGAAGAGATGCCCTGGGTAAAAAAAGCATCAGGTACGAGGCACTTTAAGCTCCCTGCCAATGGTGCTGATTCCGTGGCCACTCTGCCGCAGACCCCCTGCTGCCCCATTAACCCCATCGCAGGGCTCGCAGTCTCAGCCCTCAGTTCATCAGCTCCTCACAGCCCCAGGCCATGCACTTGTCATGGCAGCTCTATTCACTGCTGTATTCCAGTCCCAGGGTCCTCCACACTCACTATTCCCTTAATTTGTAAAGAAAACCAAAGTTGCTCCCCAGGGTAGCAGTGCCCACTTGAATCTGGGCTCTGGAGCCAGTCCCAAATTCACATTTCAACTTTGTCTCTACTCCCCTAATTGCTTAAACCTCTCTCATCCACAGTTTCTCATCTGCAAAAGGGGAGATATTGCACCTTGTTCAGTGACTTGCTGGTAGAATTCAGTGAAACAGAACAGCACGTCCCTGGCACATAATGACGGGGTTGGGGGGAGGGGGTTGTGAATGGTGGCTGTATTACTGATGCCACTTCTTGTGTTTAGAGAAGCAGCAGCGGGGGGGCCCTGTAGACAGGTATGAACTTCAGCTGCCAGGGGGCAGCCAGTCTTGGTGAGGTGAACCGTGGTTAGAGATAGGAAGGGTGTTTGGGGGAGTAGATCTGTCTTGCCTCCCCCTCCACAGCTGTTCCTCAACCCTACTCCACCAGCTGCTTTAAGATCAGTGTGGATGGTTTACAACCATCAGATGGGACAGAACAGGAAAAGCAACCTAGCAATGCAAAACCAGCTGGCTTCCAACCCTTGATGGCACCAACCAAAACTGGAAAGAAAGCAAACTCTCAGAGTAAACTGCCCAGCCCTTCCTGTACCTGCTGTAACTCTTCTAGTTATTTAGCTATTTAGCAAGTGTTCTCCTTGCCCCTGCCTCAGCAGAGTGCTGAGCCAGTGCTAGAGAGCACAGGAAGTTGAGGGAGACCTGGGAAGGAAAAGGAGCTTCCAGAACCACAAGTACATTCAAATCCAGCCGTCTTCACAGCGACAATTCACTTATTACACTTACACCTACTAGCCCATTTAAGCAGTTCCTCTCAGATGCTCTGGACTCCACTGCAGGAAAATGCGTTCAACCCTTATTCTTTTGGACACTCATTATCACACCTAGCCTTCAGATCTTTAGCACCAAGACAGGTCAGGGGATGAACATGTGAATGTGTGAAAAAAGCCAAACTCCCCCCCATACACACACCAGTCTTCTCCCCTCACTGAGGCATCTGCATATCCCCAGGTAGCTCTCCTCCCCCACAGTGTCAGAAGTGGGGAGAAACTGGGCAAAGGCATACTTCCATCCACCCCCAAAAGTCCCTGAGTATCTTCCATTCTTGTCTTCCCCACCCCCACCCCACTGCTCTGTCCTCTCCCCCCATCCCCAGTGTAGATCAACATATACAGATGTTCCTGAGCAAGTCTTTTTGTGCACATACGTTTTTCACATTTAGGCATAGAACAGCTAGGTCAAAGGACAGGTGCATGCTTAATTCCATATGGGACTCCCTGTTTACATGCCACAGCAGTGCAGAAGAGCTCTGGCTGGACCACAAACCGTGTGATGAGTGTAATGTTGGGACATTTTAGTATTTGAGATACATTAGTGAATGTATCTCATCATGGGTTTGTTTTGTATTGTCCTGTTAAATGCCAAGATCAAGCATTTTTTCATGGTTATTTGTGTTCATTTGTTATCTTGTAATGGGTCTGAGAATGTTTTGCCCTATTTTAATTATTCAAAATAGATAAATTCTCTAGAACATATGAGAGGCGCCTGTTACCCGCAGCCGTACTTCCGCCATTTCACACTTGGGTTGGGGTGTCCCCTTTTACTGATTTCATTAGGAGAGAACCTGAAAAGTTTTGAAAGTCAGGGGCAACCCTTTTAACACCATGTTTAACTGGAAAAAGCAATTGATTTCTGAACTCAGAGGCAATTTTAATAATAGTAGCTCTCATCTGTGGCCAATGATCTAAGGAAGGATTGTACAAATCCTTATAAAATCTTCTTCAGGAACAATAGCCCAGGACAGGCATTGTGGCGCATGTCTTTAATGCCTTTAAGCACTTGAAATTCAGAGGCAGGCTGATATCTGTGAGTTTGAGGTCAGCTCAGTCTATACAGAGAGTTCCAGGCCAGTCAAGGCTACATAATGAGACTCTGTCTCAAATAAAGAACAAACAAGAACAACAAAAATCAACAATTGCTGATGAAATGGCTCAGCAGGTGAAGGGGCTTGCCACCAAGCTTGATGATCCACATGGTGGAAGGAGAGAACTTACTCCTAGAAGTTGTCTTCTGATCGCCACACTGTGTATTCACAGTGGCACTTACATACACACACACACACACACACACACACACACACACACAGTACAAAATAATAATAAAAATAAATAAAGTAATAAATAAAGTAATTGACCATCTACAGGACCATATCTGTTTCTAAGACAAAAGAAACAGTCACCTCTCAGGATGGCAGAGGCTCTCGGGATTTTCCTGAGATGTTCCTAAGCCACTGACTCCACTGCTCTCTCCTAACTCTCTTCTTTGGTGACTTATGAACCTCCAAGTCCTTCACAGACAAATTCCCTGGGTCCTTCATCCTCCCCATGATATCGGTTCCAACACCACAAAATAAATAAATTAGTTAATTAAATATTACATGTCCTTCATTTGCAAGCTGTTGTAAATGGGGGTTGACCACAGCTGACTAACCCCTGCCATCACATCCTGCCATCTCTATTCCTGCTTAATAAGCCTTGAACCTATGTACATCTTCCCGTCTCCATGGTTGCAGCCAAATACCAGGCTGCCCTGTCTCCCACATGGACAACAGCCTTCAAATGTTCTTGTCACTGGGTTCTTGCTCTGGCCTCCTTTCCAGCCTGACTTTCCAGAACTCCTCGCCCAATGCACTCAGTTAAATTCTATATACTGTCGCTGCCATGACCCTCAGAGTCACAGACCCTCCTTCACCAGCCTTTACCTAACCCTCTGATGGTCCCTTAGCTTTCCTCCCAGAAGCTGTTCTTTCAGGAGCTTTTCTGTGGATCCCCAAGAAAAGGGTCACTGTTCTGCAGTGCTCTGCAGTGTTCAATGCTGAGCCTTCTGGTAAAGCTCTGTCCTCCAGCTTTCCCCACTTATTGGAAGCTCCAAACACCTGCCACTGTGTCCTCTTCACTTGAGGCTGTCTAGCGTCCAGCACACAAAAGGCCTGAACAAAT